TCTTTTCTAATACAGATATTAACTGCTATAAATTTCCTCCTCTGAATGGCACTAGTGCTGTTCCATGAATTTTGATGATTTGTCACTTATGTTCAAAATAACTTCCGAGTTCCTTCTTGATTTCTTTTTTGACTAATGAATTATTTAGAAGTGCTTCACTTAGTTTCCAAATATTTGGAGATTTTCCGAAGGTCTTTCTATTATTGATTTCTAATGTAATTCCTTTGTAGTCAGAGAACACATCTTGTATAATTTTAATCCTCTTAAACCTATTGGGACTTGTTTTACGACCCAGAGTATGGTCTCTCCTGATAAATGTTCCCGTACATTTGAAAAAAGCATGTTTGCTACTGCTGTTGAGTGTAGTGTTGTATAAATGTCAGTTTTGTCAAGGTGGTTGATGATATTGTTTAAATCTCCTATATCCATATTTATTTTCTATTTAATCTATCAATTATTGAGGAAAGTATATTGAACTCTGACTATAATCATACGATTGTGCCTTTCTTCTGGCAATTCTATCAGTTTCTGCCTCATGTATTTTGAAGCACTGATTTTAGTTGCATAAGCATTTAGGATTGTGACATCTTCTTGATGAAGTGACTCCTTAATCACTAAGAAATGACCCTCTTTATCCCTGGTATCATTCATTGCTCTGAAATCTACTTCATCTGATATTAATACAGCCATTCCAGTTTTCTTTTGATTCATGTTAGCATGATATATCTTTCCCATCTATTTACTTTTAACCTGTGTCCTTCTATTTAAGGTGTACTTCTTATAGACCGCATACTGTTTAGTCTTATTTTATCCAATCTGACAATTTTATTTATACAATTACATTTAATGTGATTACTGACATGGTTAGCTTTAAGACAATCATCTTGCTAGCTAATTTTTTTCCACCATCTCTTCTTTATTCCTTTTTTTTTTTCTATTTCTGCCTTCCTTGGGATTAATTGAATACATTCTTCTGATTCAATTTTATCTCTTCAGTTGGCTTACTAGTTATTGCTCTTTGCTTTCTTGTTTTAGTGGTTGATTTAGGATTGTGATAAATTACTCTTTAACTTACCACAATCAGCCTTCAAGTGGTATCAGACTATTTCACACATAGTACTGGACTCTTTCTCTCCTACCAGTTTGGTGCTATTCTTATCACACATTTTCCTTTTATATCTTTTACAATTTCCTTATTACCTTGTTGTTTTTGTTTAGATAGTCATTTACCTCTTTGAGATTTAAGTAAACACTTTTTAATCTATTTACTCCTATAGTTGCTATTCCTAGTGTTCTTTATTCCTTTGTGTAGATTCATATTTTCATCTGCCATCATTTCCTCCATTCTGGAGGAATTCTGTTGAGAGTTTAGTCAAACTACTCCATAATATTGCTGCCTCAGCATCCACTTTGTGTGGCCAGGAGGCCTGTGAAGGCCTTGAACTGACACTAGCCCCTTTCTTGAATGCATGTTCTAGATAACAGTGCACAGAGTCATAAGTAAATACAATTTCCTGATATAAATCCCATAAACCACCCTTGTGATAAACAGTCTCTCCCCCTCCCAGAGCCTTCTCCTTGAGTGCCCTGTAGATAAGACCCCCACAAAGCTTATCAAAACCCCACTTTTGAATTGGCCAATCCAGCCTTAGCCCAAGAACCCCAAAGCTCTCCACCACAGACCCAAAATAAAGGTATGTGCCCTTGGTCCCCCACTTTCCTTCTGCCTGTACCCTGCCTTGACCTCCCCATGGTCCCTTATTAAGGCATGCCATGTACATTTTCCAGCACTTGTGAGTAACAAACTTCTCTATTTCAATTCCCTTGTGACCTCTGTGGAACCATCCAACACCTTGGGACTCGACTTAATAAATGATCATTTAACAAAATCATAACTTCCTTTAACATTTCTTTTACTGAAGGTGTGCTGGTGATGAGTTCTTTCATCTTTTGAAATTGTTTATATCACATTTAGTTTTGAAAGGCACTTTCACTGGGCATAGAATTCTAGAATTAGGTTTTTGCTTCTCTTTCAGTATTTAAAGTTGCTCCATTGTCATCTCACTTACATGGTTTACACTAAATAATATTCTTTCTAATTTTCTGTGTACTATACATACATGTTTTATTTCACTGTCTACTTTTAAGATATTCTCAGTATCACTACTTTTGAATAATTTTATTATAATATGTCTTGGTTGTTTACCTCGTATTTCTGGTCGTTGGGATTTTTTTAAGGTTCTTAGATATGTGGCTTTATAGTTTTCATTCAAAGAGTTTTCTCAGTCGTTATTTATTCAAATATTTTTTCTTCCCCCCCCCACCAATTTTGCATGTATTAGATTTCTTGGAGTTATTTCACTATTCACTGGTGCTCAGTTCATTATGTAAACTCTCTTTTCTGTGTTTCTTTTTTTTTAAGTAACTCACTGATAATTTACATAACATAAAATTCACCCTTTTAAACTACACAGTAGTTTTTAGTACATTCACAAAGCTGTGCAACCATCATCAGTATCTAATTCCAGAACATTTCATCACCCCAAAAAGAAACGACATACCCATCAGCAGTCACTCCCCATCCCACCTCCTCCCAGCCCCTGAAAACCACTAGCGTACTTTCCATCTCCACAGATTTGCCTCTTACGGACATTTCATACAAAAGGAATCACAATATGTGGCCTCCCTGCCTCGCTTTCTTAACTTAGCATAATGTTTTCAAGGTTCATTCATGTTGTAACATGTATCGATACTTCATTTCTTTTTATTGTTGAATAGCCCATTTTGTGGATATGCTATCTCTTTCATCCTTTCATCTGTTGATGGACACTTGGATTGTTTCCACTTTTTGGCTATTCTGAATAATGCTGCTATGAGCATTTGTGGACATGTATTTTCATTTTTCTTGAGTATACACCTAGAAGTGGAATCGCTGGTCATATAGTAACTCTATGTTTAATTTTTGATGAAGTGCCAGGCTCTTTTCCAAAGCAGCTGGACCGTTTTCCATTTCGCTAATAGTGTATGATGGTTCTAATTTCTCTACATCCTCACTAGCACTTGTTACTACCTGTCTTTTTTTTATTGTAGCATTCCTGGTGAGTGAGAAGTGGTATCTCATTGTGGTTTCAACTTAAATTTTCCTGATTATCAATGACGTTAAGCATCCTTCCATTTGCTTATTGCCCACTTGTATATCTTCTCTGAAGAAATGTCTATTCAGATCCTTTGTCCATTTTTAAAACTGGGTTGTCTTTTTATGATGCTGTAGTGATTCTTTATGTATCCTGGATGCCAGTCCTTTATCAGACATACAAGTTGTAAACTCATTCTACAGATTGTCTTTTCACTTTCTTGATGGTGCCATTTGAAGTACAAAAGTTTTTAATTTTAAGGAAGTTCAATCTTATTTCTTCCTTTGTTACTTGTGTTTTTGGTGTCATATCTAAAATTCATAGCCTTAACCCAGGATTGCAAAATTTTTTCCTATATTTTCTTCTAAGGGTTTTGTAGTTTATATATATATATATGGCAAAAATTATATTTAAAATTTTTTAAATTCCCCCAAAGAATCTACCAGAATCTAGAGTAAACATCATATATAATGATGAAATACTGCAAAATTCTTCTGAGATTGGGAAGGAGAAAGGATGTTTACTAACATCATTTCTATTGAATATTATATTGGAGGTTTTAACCAGTTCTACAAATCAAGAAAAACAGATGAAACACATAAGTAAAATGCATACGGATGAGAAAAGATAAAACTGTCATTATTTGCAGATGACATGATCTATACCTATAAAGTCCAAAATAATAAATAGATAATTAAAATCAACAAGTAGTTTAGCAAGTTCACTTGATACATGATCATTACAAAACAATCTATTATATTTTTATATACAATTTAGAAATTTGTTTTAAAGTGTTACTATTTATAATAGCATGAAAAACATCAAATACCTAGGAATAGATCTACTGAAAGATCTGCAAGGCTTTTATACAGAAATCTATACAATTGTATTAAGAGAAATTAAATAAGACCTGAATAAATGGAGTAATATACCATGCAGATGGATTGGAATACTCAATAATGTGAATATGTCTGAACTCCCCAAAATGATATATCCATTCAATGTAACACCAATAAAAATTCCAGAAGGTACCTCATAGAAATTGATATATGGAAATGCAAAGAACCAAAAATAACCAAGGAAATGTTGAAGAAGAAGAGGAGTGGGGAGGCCTACTCTCTCTGATACCAAAACATTACAAACCTATCATAATTAAAACAGTGCAGTAATGTTGCCAGGACAGACACAGACGAATGGAACCAAACAGAGATTCTAGAAATAGATGCACACATACATGGGTGCTTCATTTTTTACAAGGGTGGCATTACAGAGGAGTGGGTAGAGAATAGTCTACAGTAAATAGGCTGGGTCAACTGATTATCCACATTGAGAACAAATGAAATTAGATGTCTACCTTCCTCTATACACAAAAAGCAAGGGTAGGATTGTAGATTTAAATGTGAAAAGTAAACCAAGAAAGCTACTAACAGGCAATATAGGAGAATATTTTCATGAGCATAGGTGGACAAAGATGTCTTAACACTAATCATAAAGGAAAAAATCATAACTTGGATTAAATTAGGGATCTGTATGTCAAAAGACATTAGTAATATATATGACAAACACAGGGTGAAGATTCTTATTAGGTAAATGCCTCTTAAAAATAATAATAAAAAGATAAAAAGTTACCATCCCATTCAAAAATGATCAGAAAACTCATAACTATCTATATGAAATTATCCATAGTCAATGAACATACTAATACATGTTCACTTTCAATAGAGAGTAGACATAAAGACAAATAAGATTTTTTCATCTAGCAGATTGGCAAAAATATAAAAAACAATAATTAAATTTAGTATTAGATTTGAGCACTCTCATAAACTCCTGGTGGGAATTGAAATTGGATACATTTTTTGGAGACTATTTGGCAATGTATTTCAAAATCCCTAAAAAAAATCTATGTATCCTTTGACCCAACAATTCTACTTCTAGAAATTTATCCTAAAGAAAAAATTGAACCACTTTGAAAAAATGGGTTTTCATCACTGCAATGCTTATATAACAAGAAATTAGAAGAGAAAACAGGGGATTGGCTAAATATGTTATGATAATCCATATAATTAGACACTAACACTAATTTGAATCAAGAATCGCGACCGAAGGGGCGCCTGGGTGGCTCAGTTGGTTAAGCGACTGCCTTCGGCTCAGGTCATGATCCTGGAGTCCCGGGATCGAGTCCCGCATCGGGCTCCCTGCTCAGCAGGGGGTCTGCTTCTCCCTCTGACCCTCTTCCCTCTTGTGCTGTCTCTCATTCTCTCTCTCAAATAAATAAATAAAATCTTTAAAAAAAAAAAAAAAAGAATCGCGACCGAAGACATCTAAGACATCTAAAGCAGGATGTGACATAAATGAGAGAAGAAGCTCTTTGGCAAATTAGGCAGCACATGCCCCTCTTGGAGAAGGCAGCTCCAATTAATTGATAACAAGTAAGATGTGGGGAGGTGTGGAAGGGTGTCTAGTGTCATCAGAATACCCAATCTTTTAGAAGAAGGAGAAAATTAAATTTTTATGTGAAATTTCCTGATTTTTAAAAGTTGTCTATTGTTTAAAATTTTTTGAAAAAGATTCAGTGGCCAAATAAAATACGTTATTAGTGGACTAGATTCAATTCAAAGGCTGAGAGCCCCAATATATATACATATATATTTATTGACAGAAAGAGATTCATGATGTATTGTCTTTATTGTGTGAAAAGATTATTACAAAAACACTTTATATAATGTGATCTCACTTTTCTTAAAAATCAAAGCATATTTAGATGTATGTATAATCAAAGCATATTCAGGTCTGAAGGGGTATAAATCTAAATGTTAATAGTGGGTGATTGTTTTACATATCTCTGTTTTTGCATGTTTAATATTGATGGTTAGTATTTTATTATCAAAGAATACAATAAAGTTCTTCTGATTTGTGGTTATAAAGGAAAGAGTTAGTAGTTCAGTTTAAAATTTTGAGAATTAAACTAAAAATCAAAACCACTGAACTCTTGCACATAAATTCAGACAAACCAGAACCCAAAGTCGATTCTTCCATTTACTATATCAATGGCTCTGTCAGTGATAATATCTACCATCTATGCTTCAAATCCCCTTGGTAATGTAAAAACTAATAAACAAAAACAGAATTAATATCTACCATTACCTTCTTCGTATCGTCAAAAGCTAAGTGGACAGAAGGAGGATTTTTCTACTGCAGTACAAGTCTGGAAAGAAGATAGACGCTGGTAGGACATAATAATGTAAAAAGTTTTGTTTGTTTTTATTATTCTATCCAGAGGCAAGACCATTCTCAAAATCTAAAGCTCCACCCTGCCCCACCCCTCACTCCCTGACTAGTAATCATACCCAATGCAGTGGAGTAGAGAATGGCAGACAACCCATTGCCAGAAGTAGCGTTAGATGAGGTGGAACCCCTACTTGTGTTTTGTTTTGGTTTTGCTTTTCAAACTCTATTTAAGCTAAAAACAAAAACAGTTCAAGAGCATTTGGGCAAGTCCCTAAATGTGAGTGGAACTCCAAGACAAGTGGAATAAACTAGGGAAGCCACTTTTAAGGATTGGCTTTGACCCTCAAGGAAAGAAATTAATAATATTCTTTGAGCATTTTCACTCTTTATCTACTCTTCTCGCCTCTCTGTACCACCAGTAAAGGCATGGACTTCTCTGAATAGAATTCAGGGAGGTGAAGAGGTCCACAGGTGAAACCTACCAATGGGCTGATGTAAAGTGGGTTTTGTTTCTGTCTCTATCACCTCCTTTTTATCATAAGGAGTTCAGACACCTGCATTCTAATATTCCTTTTACTGGGCAGGTTAAGTATAATGGAGGGTAAAGAAATTTTTTCAGGCGATTGTAGTACCATTGGAAACCTACCTTAAAATGAGCTCATGAACCTCCCCAAGTGCCCAGTTTGAAACCCAAGGAGAAATTTCATCATTTTGGGTCCATGGAAATATACCCTTTGAGATATTTTTAATATAATATTATTATATGTCATTATTTTCATTATTTTTTTCTCTTTTTAATGAATTCACAATAAAGGAAAACAATAAAAGTGTTGTTTCATATCTTTACTTTCAGTAATGTGCAACACGAACATAATAGTGTTAAGAAGTCAGAAATAACTCAACACAGTAGCTATAGAAGATGCTTATATTTGCAAAATGTCAACAATTATCTTCCCTAGGTTCCCCCAAAACTGGTCTATTTGTTAATCAAATTAATTAAGAAGCTTTTCAAAATAAAAGCAATGTTTTAAATAAATATATTTTCATAACCATAGAACATTTAGTTCTTCTGGAGGTAACAAACATTTTACACTCAAGTACTTTATGAAGATATTAGGGTAAAAATTATCTGATGCAATTATAAATGTACCCTAGTTTGCTTCTTTTGTGTGTGTCTTTGTTCATGTATAAAAATTATATCATATTTGTAATGTTAGTTCTTAAATCATCACAAAGATGTTATCTGACCCACAGAATTTATATCAGCTCAACATGATAATGTGGTATTGTTTAAACAATGTCTTTCAATTTAAATTTAGTACAACAAATTATATTTAATCAAAGACAAGACCTCCTGGCTGCTCATGTCCATTACAGAAAATGAATGCTAGACTCCCAGTTTGGAAGAATGAGACCTTCCAACAAATCTCAACCTTGAAATTTTATAACTGAAAATCATGTCACATCAAAATACTAATTACAACAGAGCTCTCACTGTGTTTCAGAGTTCCGCAGAGGTGGGTATAAATTCATTTATGATCAGCTTTTCCATGAAATCATATGTTTATTAAACAACTACCAAAAAACTCTCTAAAAATTGATTTTATTTAATAAATAGTTTAAAGAGTTTCTAACTGAAGAAATGATTTTGCTGACCTCAGAAATTCTGATCACTTGTTTATCTTTCACTCACTTTTATTTCTACTGTGATTCTTAAGAATTTTCTAATTGATATTTAATCTATCAAAACATCTATGCATTGGTAAATTTGGCTTCCTTTGATAATAACCTATGTTAAGATCTCTAAATTAAATGACAAAGTAAATTAAACACAGTAACCGGTTATAGTAAGTGCTCTTTAGAATTTCAGATTAACAAATTTGTCCCAAAATGATAAAGTAATAACTTACTAAATGAATAATGCAATGTAGAATAGATTTTCATAGGATCTCAAGCTCTCTTTCTCAATCTCTCTTTTTCTCTCTCTGTCACTTTCTGGTTCTTTCTCTCTCTCTCTCTGTCTCTCTCTGTATCTGTCTCTCTCTCTCGCTCGCTCTCTCTCTCACACACACACACACACACACACACATACACATGCTCCCACCCACATCCATACATAGGTATGTACACACATCCCAGAATTTTTAAACACTACTAAAGGTTTTAACTTAGATAAATTAACTACATTAAAATACTGACATTGTGAAAATATCTATGTCCAACACCCCACAGAGGGCATCTTTTTGTGAACTTCTAAAAAGCTGAAAGAAAGAAAACCAGAGAGAAAACCCGGAGTCCTCGAGGGGAAGGCTGGGTGCGCGTGTTGGTACTGCACAGGTTCACAGCTTCCCATTCTCCTCGCCACTCTCTTTCTCCTCGATGGCTTCCAGGCTACGTTTGCTCTTGGCTTCTGCACCACTGCTGAGTGCTTTACTAAGTCCACAGGACAAGCACGCCAGCTGGATCTGCTTCATGTTTTCTATGGCTTCATTCTTGGCATTCTTCAACAGATCTCCTTGGCCCTACAAACAAGGAGAAATATACACCAAAGAAGAAAGTTATGGACCAGGCGTATCCTGAGTAACATCACTCTATATATTTGTGCTACTGCTCAGGGAGGAAATGGACCCAGACCCTCAGAGCTCACTTTTGCAGGGATTATCCCCAGGCTCTTTTCTGGCCCTGTTCAGGGTCTTTGCTCTTTAAGCCCAGGACCTCAACTTTAGCCTTCCCAATCAGCTCTGTGGTTGCCAGTAGGCTCTTGAGATTCCTGCAGTAAGGAATAACCTCGGGGGGGGGGGGGCATCCTCTGCATTACTGAGGATGGTGAACCCGTCCCCTCCCCATGGTCTGCAACTTTGCACACTGCTGCAACTCCCGTCCCACCCAGGCCCAGCATTTCTAGGCTTGGGAGAAAACCAGGAAAGAAGCTCTTCTTTAAAGAACTGAAAATTAAATCAGCCCCTCAGTGTACAAGAGCTTACAAATCAAAACATCTTCTGTAAAGTAAAACACACACCATTATGCTTGGTAAGCTGGGTTTTTATACATTGGGTTATCCTTGCAATCTGCCTTTTAATAAATTATTAATTATCCATATTCCCTCTGTCTTTTCCATCACCCTAAAGACAATGTTTCCATCTGGCTGATGGAGAAAAAAAAGGGGGGGGCTTCGGAGGCTCAGTATGTCAATCAAAACAAAAAGCAAATGAGGATCGCAGGAAATCATCAGCTCTCAGGAACATCAGCGCTTGAGAAAGACTTTTTCTCCTTTTTTTATTTCTTATTTTACTTCTTCATTAAAAATGACCAAGTATATAAGCTGATGCTGACCCAGGCACCTGAAGGACCAAGTGTGGGGAAGCCGGAACCTACTCCCATGGGGCACAGACAAAAGAGGACATGGTCCCTCCTCTCTCCCCTCTCCATTCCCACTGCAGTGCTGAGGTGACCGCGAACTGCAGAGGACAGTGTGGGAGGATGCAGACACTGATGGCTGGAGAGTTCCTCCACAAAGCACAGACTCAGCGAAAGGATAAGTCACTTATTTTATCCAACGTGCTACATGATACGCTGTTTAATTTGATGAGTCGTTTTTCCTCAGGGTGTCCGACGAAACACATGTTTAAAAATGCCGTAGCATATTCCATTCCTCAAAATCTACACAAGCACTTGCACAGCACTATGTAATAGTAGTGAAATCCTTCTAATAAAAGGCTTTAACTAAATGGGATACACAGGATGGCTTTTCCTAATATTTTTGTTAAAGTGGACTTATCCCAATCACCTCAGTCACGGAAAGGGATTTTATAAGTGGACGTGGAAGTTTTATATTATAGTCTAGCTTTCCCATGAGGAGAAAAGAGGCAGAGCCTGATGAGGTTTAATGACTGACCCAAGGTCACAGCTGGGACTGAAGTCCAGGTCTTGGACCTCAGTCCAGTGTCCTATTTCCCACACCATGTTTATAATTTAGACTAAGACTAAATACTAGAAGGGACGCCTGGGTGGCTCAGTCGTTAAGTGTCTGCCTTCAGCCCAGGGTCCTGGGATCGAGTCCCACATTGGGCTCCTTGCTCAGTGAGGAGCCTGCTTCTCCCTCTCCCTCTGCTGCTCCCCCTGCTTGTTCTCTCTCTCCCTCTGACAAATAAATAAAAATCTTTAAAAAAAGGGGGGGGGGCGCCTGGGTGGCTCAGTTGGTTAAGCGACTGCCTTCGGCTCAGGTCATGATCCTGGAGTCCTGGGATCGAGTCCCACATCGGGCTCCCTGCTCAGCAAGGGGTCTGCTTCTCCCTCTGCCCTCTTCCCTCTAGTGCTCTCTGTCTCTCATTCTCTCTCTCTCAAATAAATAAATAAAATCTTTTAAAAAAATAAATAAATAAAATAAATTAAAAAAAAAAAGACTAAAGACTAGAAAATGAACACTCTGTCATAGAAAGATGGATTTTCTAAAGAAAAATATTCACTATGCCAGCAGAATTTGGGGAGTCAGTTCTGAACACTGATGAGTCCCCTCTGGACACTGAAAAACAAAGTCACATCCACTTGGAAAAGTGCAATTCTTAAATAATAATAATAATAATAATACATATTAAGTGCTTACTCTGACATGCACTCTTTTTTGTGCTTTACATATGTTCATTCATTCAATTGTCACAGCAACCCTACGAAGATAGACACTTTTCTTATTCTCGGTTTATTGATAAAAAAAAAAAAAAAAAAAGCTGAGGCCCAGAGCAGTCCCCTTTCCCAGAGTCATGCAGCTACTACATGGTAGAGCTGGGGTTTAAATGAAGTCCAGCAGTTGGCTCCAGAGTCTGCAGTCTTGACCACTACGTGATACGGCATCTCTTCAAGGAAAATCATGCACTCTCTCCAAAGCACGTTAGAGCCTCCTATTCATTGTTACCCATGAAAACAACGCAGATATAAAGAAAATCATTGCTCATGTGGCAGAGTCTGACAGAACTTGGAGGTGGTATCTAGAGACTCGGGCAGATCAGGTGCACCAAGGACACGCTGGCAAGAACAAAAGTCAGGCTTAGTTTTGCTCTAGCTCCAACTATTTCTCCCTGGGCTACTTGCTCTTCTGTAAACATGAAAATAACCTTCAGCCTTCCTCACAGTGTTAAAGATTAAAGAAACAATGTTGAAGAGTTGTTTGTAATTTTGGTAATCACAAGTAAACTACGCTATAAGGTGACATGAAAAGCAGGTATCACGTCTACTACTATAATGAATATCTTGGCACTGTACAAATGTTAAGATATAAATTTCACTAATCTGTCTAAAATGCATCTGCAAGAGTCTGTTTTGCAGAGATAGGTATATTGCCACTGGTTTTACAAATTGAAAGATTCCCTTAAAAACCAAACTGTATTAACAAAAAGATCAGATCCACACTCATTTTCAGTGTTACTTTTAAGAGATCATTGTCCTTTTAGTTCTAAACGTTTCATTAAGCATTTTAAAATTGCAACAAAAGCAAAATTGGCATCTTCCCTAATTGCAAGAGAAGAGTGAAACATGCAAAAATATCAAGCTGGATGCCACGAATGCATAATGTTCTCCCCTCCCCTTGTTCTGCAGCAGGTTATGAAACCTATCTGATTAATCAGCCGGAATGTTGTCTCATCAGTTCCGAGAGGTGGCATGCAAGCCCGTGTGCCAGACTGTGCCAGTTCCGGTACACAGAAGTCCCTCTCTCCAGAAAACAATGGCCAATTGGAGAAAACAGTGGTGGCAGTGCACGAAAACACAACTACATCATCTCCCGATAACCAGGAGACACCGTGTCCTGGCTGAACCACACGGGCAGAAAAGAAATAGAAAAAGAAACTCAATTGTTAACTAATACAAAAAGACAAAATCAAAGACTAGTTTTACAATTGAATTTTTACATTCTACGTTGAAACATTTAATGTAAACATTTTTTTTCCTGTTCTTTAAAGAAGGAAGAATAAAGGTCATCTTTCTGTTCTGTGGCCCAAGGAATCCACTCCGGGAGTCCTCCCTCTTAGGATATCAGAACCAGGAAAGACTCATACCAGGCAAAACTATAAAAAGAGAGAAGTTTATTGTTAACAACCCCCACCCTGGCATTCCTTTTTAGTACTTTTTCCCATTTTATGTGCTGCAATTTCCCCTGGCCAACGAGTATCCGTCTCTCAACTCTGTTACGCTCCCTCTCAAACTCCTAACAAGCCAGCCTATACGGTATCTCCTCTGTCAAACATTTTTGTCCTATGTATCATTTCCTACAAGATGTATTAGGTATTCAGATCAGCTGATCAATTTAAAGGGATTAGTGTGTTGTGTGTATTTAACGAGTATTGTAACAGGCACTTCCAAAGAAATATGCTCAAAAATACTCCTCAAGTAGAGGTCTTGGGAGAGAAGGAGAGGAGAGAATTTTACTTGGTATTATATAAATCAAAACACTTCTTGGATACTAAAATATCTCTGGGATTGTTATGACCTGAAATGTAAAATTAATGTACAATGTGATCAATGAACACTCAGTTTGAAAGAAATGTCAAGCTACTGCCAATGTTTTGATATTCTAGCAATCTCATGGCAATTTGTAATTTCCCTCCTCTGATGTTAGGAATGCTTCAGAAAAAAAAAAAAAAACGAGGACCGCTTTAACCCAAAGAAAAGCAGAAGTAATAGAGGGCATCTCAGGCAGACTGATGCTGATGGGACAACAGGACTATCAAAAATCTCAAGGGCAATGGCCACCAACTCAGCCTCCACAATTATTTGGCTTCCAAAATTAAGAGTCCATGGAAATCCCTGCGTATTTAAAGAGTAACTCTTGGCATCACAGAAAACCATAGAGAGATCACTATAGAGATTTTGAATCTAAAAATTAGTGATGATTAATGAATTTTTTTAAAAAGAGATTAAGCAGTCATAACCAAATCCTTACAACTGCATTAGATTGCAACTAAAACACATTACCTAAAAATCAAGAAATATCTGATACAATTTAGACTGTAAATGGGCTTGCTGTACAATGCCACAAGTTTTATTACTACTAATAAACTTATTACTGACAGTAAAATATCATCACAACCCTACATAGAAGCTAACACTTTATTGAACACTTAATAAACTAAGTATAAGCAAATTTGCACAGATTATCTCATTATATCATAACTGTAAAAAAAACTGGAATTCTAAATGTAAGGAGCTTATTAGTTATATATTTGGAAGTTATCTATTAAGAACATATTTTATTATCTGTCAAAAGACATTCAGGATTTTTATTATTCCTCTTCTACTAAGAAAGGCAACTCCCTCCCTGCCCAACACCGTTCAAAAATAATTTTGACTACAATCTGGCAGAATAACTTACAAAAGACATCCATGATTCCTTCACACCCATTTTCCCATGAACTGCACTATCCCTTGTGTTATTAGTGCACACAAGAGCAGGAGGACATCGTGACTGGTGTCCATGTGACATGTGAAGGAAATGCGTGGGTTGTCTCAGAGCACACCACAAATATTTAAAGAA